GCGTATCCTGCCCAGATAATATCGCCAGAGACAACCAAACTTGCGGATTTTTAACTTCGAACGAAAAGAAAAAAAAAAAATAAATCCATGCTTTCTCAGCAAAAAAATATGTTAAATTTTGTCATTGCAAAACATTGTAAATTATTTTAAATTCGTCATACTGATGTTGTGAAAAAAAGATAACTCTGAATTTGGTTAGTGCCAAACACTTTTTCTTCATTTCCAAAGGTATTACTTATCACTTTTTGGATCTTTCCTTCTGGGCGGCACTGCGCATTTGGGAATACCAGATATAAATTCTTACGATGTTGTAAACGTCTGTTCTGATAGTTTGTTTATTATTTAAACGAAAAGTAAAAACCAAATATAAATTTAAAAAGAAAATTAAAAAAAAAAAAAAAAAATACAAACGAAACCCTTCAAATGTCCAAGATGAAATTTCTTTTAAATAGGATTGAATTAAACGAGTTTTAAAGAATAATTATATATTCTCTGTTAGTTCACGCCAGGTATTCATTCCGAAGCACACTTGGAGGAGTTATTTCTTTCTGTATTTAAATTTGTTTCATATATTCATATTTTACGTTTTGTTTTGTTATTTTCTTAAGTCTGAGATGCTGAAAGATAGCGAATAGCGCGCAACTATTGAAGAGTTTGAAAATAATTATATTTCCATTTCTAATTGATATTGTGATAATAAGCCTGTGAGATATTTTCTGTTACTAAGACGTTATCCTTGTAAAATTCTCGATCAAGAGTACAGTAATCTTTTAGTATCTTGTGGAGCTCATATGTATTTCAGCAACGCCCGTGTCGATGACAGATTCTATAATTCTTTATGGTGTTTTTTGAGTTAAAAGTTGTTCTTTTTCTAGATTTGTTGTCTTGCCATGTAATTTTTTACCTTGTTGTTTAACAATCGAAGAAACAAGGATGCGTACATTTTCGAAGGGTAGTACTGTAAACAAAGCAGACACAGTCAGAATATAAATATTACACTTTCTGCTCCTATAGTCGTTAAATATACAATATTTAAATCTTTAGAATTTATATGAATCCCAAATATTTTGTTAAAATGTCAATATAAGATTAAAGGAAAATAAGATTTGCTATTAGATTAACTGTTTTTCAAGAATGCTATACTCCAGGAGAACAACATTTTACATTTTTATGGCTTAGTTTTCCACAGACTGGAAGAGAAGCGACTATATCGAATCAGCTGTCGCGTCTTCTACAGGAGCCAAAATGTAATTATTGTTAAAATAAATGAATTAATCGATTATAGATCAGCATAAAATCAGGAATTTATTGTAGAAAGAAAAATAATAATTATAGCTTTCTAAAGAAATCTTGTATAACTCATACCAAATATAAATACACTATTAATTATAGGTTTTAAAATTCCTGTACTCATAAAACACGTGTTTTCAGTGCTTATCAACACTTTTCAGGTTATTCAAAGCCAGAAAATATATTTTGATTGTAAAAGTAGTTTTTGGATATGATAGAAATTTACTGATACAAGCCATACTATTTAACACATAGCTCTGAGTAGAAAATATGGTTTCATGCCTTTCTAGGAATCTGTGAAGTTAACGAACCCAAGTGGAGTTAGAACTCGGCTCTCCTATTTCCAAATCCGATTCGTTATCCGTTACATTACTCACACATCCACGCCTACAGCGCCTGTTGTTTCTAAAAAGTTACCCATGAAGGTACTGACCAAGTTTGACGTTACTTAACTTCGGTGATTGTGCAAAAAAAAAAAGAAAAAAAAGGCTGGTGCTTCAACGTGATATTGCCGTCAGCCTACGACATTAATATATATATATATATATAAGCTTCTAAAAAGAAAAAAAAATGGTATTATAGTTTAATAAAATATGATTATAAGTTTATATAAATTTAGTTTTAATTGTAGATTTCTGTCTGCAGCCCATTAATATCAGGCTTGCATATGCAGGGTGACTAAAAACAAACGGAGAATTTGGCTACACTGCGAGACAGTGACCTTGAGCAAGTAAACATTTCGCCATTTAGAATTCAAGATTAAATTCACAGTATTCCAGCTGAGATGTTGCAGAAGTCAATGAGGAATCTTAACAGCAGATTTCAAGAATGCATTCGTACAGGAGGACGCCATCTACAGGACGTAATTTTAAAAAAAATGAAAATTCCATCATTCTTTCTATAATGGCATATTTTAAGGTTTCAATTAATATGAATAAAATATTTTTTTTCCATCACTCTTGGTTTTATTGGATTGTTAAAATGTTCCCGTTTTTTGGGGGTCCCGTATATCACGTTCAAGCACCAGTTCCCGTACGACCTTCGAAGATAAGCAACGTCGAATACCTAAATGGGTGACTGCTTGGGAATACCAACTGCTGTAAGCTTGGATGTGCGGTTGGTGTAATGGATAATGTCTCGGAATTTTTAATTGGGGGTACGGTGGTCTAATGAATAGCGGCTCGGAGGAATCGGAGAGCCGAGTTCGAAT